CCTCGCGCTGTCGCTCGTGGTTCACGTCCCTCTCGCGCTCTTGATGTCTCTCCTGCTCGTGTCGCTCGCGATCATGCTGCCGAGGCGGTGGTTGGTGCGCCATCATGTTGCGCGCCATCTCATCGAAACGGCGGTTCATGATGTAACGCCCCGTATTTTATTAATAGAAGAAAATACTAGCTTTTAGTTTTAAGCTAGCCTTTATTAATAAATAATCATGTTCAGGTTCAAAGTTCAGATTAATCAGTCAGTTGTATTCTATGTTCGACTATTAGTCGATAAGTTATTCGGTTTACTTATTTTAGTAACCGGATAAATTTCCAGATTTAATTCTGATTCATCAATGAGTCCGGAATTGATTACTCAGTCAGCGATATTCCGTTATGTTAATCATGTTTTAGTTCCGATATATTAATATTGTCGAGTATTAATTTTTCGGAATTAATTAATTTTTAGTCGAGATTACCGAAAATTATTTTCGACGTACCGGTCACGTTCGGAATAATTTTGGTAATTAAGCATTATGTTTAATTAAATAATTAAACATAATGAGTGATCAATTTAATCTTAATCACGATTTAAATTTGGGGAAAAAGCCGTACGGAATTGCCGTGTATTATCCCAAATTCATGCAAGTGCCGTGATTATTCTTAAGCTTAAGGAAATATTTTTCCTCTTCCTTAAGTAAGGGAACGTGGCATTATAAAATGTCTCAAGGGAGTATTAGTCATCCTAAGTTAGTTTGTTTTGAGACAAGTGTCATCAAATGGTGTAAACACCACACCATAGCATCATCACTTTACCATCATCTTGCCCTCGGTTTTGGTATAAGTAAGAATGGTTGGTCCAAAAATTTTCCCCTCTCTTTATACTATATTCACGCCTTCATACAATCTGAGGTTAAAAGTGGGAGTTAGTGAGTTTTTTTGTGAATTGGAGGATTTCTTGAGCACCGTACGCAATTACCGTAAGCCACCGCATCGCTTATCGCACGCCGCACACAAGCCACGCGCACAAAGCACCGAACGCTGGGAACACCTGGTGCGGTTCAGCAAGCGAGTAAAGAGGTAACTTTGATTACCTTAAGTTATTCATGTTAAAGACATGATAGGTTCGGATTATTCAGGTTCATGGTGCGGCTTTAGGCCTTTCGGCTGTGCGAGGGCTTGGCGATCGTAATTATGTTTGGTGTACTTAGTATCTCGAGCAAGCTTCGCATGTTTAGCCATTTTATACAAAATCATGATCAGTCAGTCTATTATGTTCGAAGAGATTTCATGTTTAAGTGTCGTGTCGGCCGAAGGGCGTGGCCGTGCACGTAGCACGCGCCACGGGCCGTTCACGAGTAGCATACTTGCTAAGTAAATGTTCTTTTGAACCAATATG